TAAATATACTTTGAATAAGATAGATTTATCATTTAAGGTCTAATAAATAACTTTTCTGAGTGCAAAGGCTTTTGTTGCTCTGTACACCGGAAGTCCAAGAAATCTTGGACTCAAAATTGGATTATGCCAGAGCTCTTGTTCTTTGTCGTAGACCAAAAGTAATGTAGGTTCTTTGTACAAGATTGGAGTGCCGTAATCGAGGCCGTAAGGCCGAGCGAAAATCAAAGGTTTGATTTTCTCTTGGCCTTACGGACTCGATTACAGCGCTTTGCGTCGACAAAAACAATAACGAAGAGTGAAAATATCAAACCTCTGGGACTAGAGTAAGTCATCAAAGGAAGCCTTCGTGACTGAAAGGGATTATGGTTAAGCTGTTACAGGCATACATAATTTGACTTGTTTTGACAAAGTAAAYGTTTTACAGAATAAACAAGTTATTATATCCCATAAAATTACCATAACACATGGCTCATTTCAGTCATGCAAACTCTGTTGACAATTGCGATTCGCCAATTCATCCAACAACTTTKATTAAAAAAGGTATATAACTTATTATTGAATTTCATTTCTAGACCCAACGATGTTGCTCTTGTTGCTGTAGCATCTAATAACGTCATCACTCTGAACAAGGTTAATTTATCATTTGCCATTTTTATGATGCCATCATTAACAAACAAAATTTTTACTCTCGCTTGTTTTATTAATCAGAGACAAAATATGAAATGAAATTGAAAACTCGCAAAGTCTTGTTCAATACAATCTATTGACTGCCATGTTTTATTATTTGAAGATATTATTGTTTTGTACAGTATGTGTCACACTATAATGGTTAAGAGTTTGTGTTGAGGACATTTAATCTGTATAAGATAGTCAATGCATTGTCTGCAAGGTTTTAACAGCTTTTGTATGAACAGGAAAGGGATCTATTTGACTCTAAGAAGAAAATTAAGGCAACAATGGTAGATGGTTTAGAAAACAAATTAACTGACCAGCAAAACCGGCAGCTAAAATTCAACCAGTGTCTTTTGTTTCTCTACTCCAATCAGGTAAACCCTCTTTATTTTCATGTAAGATATATATGGATGTACATTTAAAACAATGAGGTGTCCCAGTAAAAAATAATGATACAATTAAAATATATCTATTGTATGTGATTTATTTATATAATCATTTCACTCACCATAGTAGTTTGAATGCTGAAACAATGTGTGGTGTTTTTAGCTTGATGCATGTAGATCCTTAATAACATCTTTAGAGGAGAAGTATCCAGATTGTGACTTTCCTTGTTTGATGTGTGCTTCACTGTTGCTTAGAGAGAAACAATATGATAAAGCCATCAAAATGCTTAAGGTAAAGTAACAATCATGGTTGTTCATGACAGTAAAACGCAGACAGCATTCACACTAATGAAGGGAGTGTTAAATTATTTATTGCTTGGGAGAAGCAGCATTATCTGTAGTGCCATAAATAGAGCACCTTTCCCCTCACAAAAATTATTTAAGGTTTCAGCATACCCAAAGGATCTTTACTACTGCTAGCAAGTATAGACCATATGAAAAAGTGTGATGTTGTTAGTATTATTTTATATCTTTACAGGATTATGCTGAAACCCACCCCAAAACATCAGCTAATGYTCAACTGACTCTTGTTCAGATGTATCTTACCCAAGGTATATTGTGAAAAGCAAGTAGATTTTTCAGTGGAGACCAAGAGGATTGTGCTGGTGCTAAAGTGACATCTGTTCTGTTTTTACCTTTCCCACTTCCCAAACTCTCTAATCCCCTAAAATCTCTTCCTTTCTAGAAGCCTCATAATGGGTTGATTCATTTAGATTTGTTTTATCATAACTATTGGTCCCCTCTGTACAGGTCATTTAGAATCAGCTTGTACTACTTTAAGGTCCATTGAAGAGCTTTGTCACCGTCCAGGCATAGTAAGTCCCTCAGCTATTTTTTTGATAGTTTAAGGGTGTTTGTTGCCCCTATTTATGTAATATTTATAAAACTCATTAATATTCATAAGGCAAAACACAATAGAAATCATAGCCCATGAAGAGAGTTGTATATTACATACAGATTTCTTGTTCATTTGCATAAACTTTTACTCTGATTTTCTCAGTCAGATTGAATTTTTTTTCAAAAGTTTCTTTAAAACCTGAGCTAATTTACCTTAACGTTTCATAAGTAATATACAATATTCGCGTGCGATCTGTATGAGGATTTAAAACAGCTCGCTTTCAGCTCGCTGTTTTAAATCCTCATACAGATCGCCCGCTCATATTGTAACAATATGAGCGGGCGATCTGTATGTAATATACAACTCTCTTCATGGGCTATGATTTCTATTGTGTTTTGCCTTATGAATATTAATGAGTTTTATAATACTCCAATTTCGAGTTCTGGTTTGCTCTGTGTTAGCCTCAAAACCAAGTAACATATTCTTTTGTTTCATTGATGGCCCGAAAACACGCATGGAATTCGAAAAGAAATACAATAGAACGGAATTGAAATCTSACACTTTTATTCTCACAATTAGGAATATTTTGCGCACAAATGAGGCTAACACAGAGCATTGGAGAATYTGAAACTGGATTATTCTTGGTAGATAATTGTGATTATGGTAAATCAGTTTGGCAATCCCCACATGATTGGAGTATTTAGCACACATGATTGCCTGATAAACACTTGTAAGACATTATTCCATTGTAAGCCAAATATTTACACATTCTTTCAAAAGTAAGCCAGTTTACATTTCAATGTTGGCCTCATTGAATAGARCGATTTCACATAACCGAATAAAAATTGCTAATGAGGATCAACTTATATGCTAATCTAAGCCATAGACAGTTAAAAAAAGTTCAAAAGAAAAGGGCAAATATT